AGTGAAGCCGAAAGTCCTTCCCAGGCCTGAATGGTATCGCTACCATGTGTATAGGGCGCCCTCGAGCCACCTCCCCAAACACTGCGCTTCACGAACCTGGCCTGATGCTTCTCGAGACGACGCCTGCGACGAGACTACCGAGGTGCGAGGTTTCTCGCGGGCCTCAAGGGGCTACCGGGGGTTGGAGTTGTGCTTCCGTTAAGTCGGACATGCAACTCCCTTGGAATGACGAAGCTCTATTGGACTCTAACCCTAAACCCTAAACCCTAAGCCCTAAGCCCTAAGCCCTAAACCCTAAACCCTAAACCCTAAACCCTGCGAAAACCCTGCCACGCGCAGCGACTCAGGAGAAGAAAGGGTTCAAGGGTTTAGGGGTTTAGGGGCTTAGGGGCTTAGGGTTTAGGGTTTAGGGGCCTAAACAGTGAGAGTAGCTGCACTTGCCTTGCCGTCTCGGCCACGGATTTCTGGGCACTGTGCTTGCACTCCAGGTCCTGGCAGCTAAAGCTTTAGAACCTTGAGGCAACATCAGATTCTTAACATGCCCTTGGGGTTCAAACCACAAGATTACAAATATTCCTTTAAGCTACTAAAGACGAGCCCTAAACCCTAAACCCTAAACCTCGACCCTAAACCTAAACCCTAATGTTGCACCCTGTTTAGTGTGGGCCCCCCCCCCCCCCCCCCGAACAGTCGAGGCGTGGATGGGATCCTGATTACACGGCCCCGGGGGCTAATATGATTTTAATAGGGAGGAGTTTAGATAGGTTCAAAAGGGGCAGCGATGCCCGGTTATCTTTGTTAAAGGCGCGCCACGTGGAATTTTCTTACGGCGCCCGGACGATTTGCCTTTATAGATGGAGTCCCAAACAGTCAGCATGTCCTGAATAATTCGGCCAGTTTGTCTTTAAAGAGGGGGCCAATACTAAACAGGGTGCAACATTAAACCCTAAACCGTAAAACCTAAACCCTAAACCCTAAACCCTAAACCGTAAACCCTAAACCCTAAACACATCCTAAACCCTAAGCCCGAAAAGGCTTCCAGTCTCCTAGGCTGCCAGGTCCGCTAGGTCCAGACTGGAACTTGAAGCACCCGGAGGGTAGGTTTCGGGTTTGGGGTTCATTTCGGGTTTAGGGTTTAGGGTTTAGGGCTTAGGGTTTAGGGTTTAGGGCTTAGGGTTTAGGGATTAAGGGCACCTTTCGGGTGTGGTTCTTTGGGTCCTGGGCCCTCCCGTCGTGCCCTCAGCGGTTGCTGCATGAAGCTTTACCTGCTGGAATGGGAGAAAGGGAGGGTTGAGGATTAGGGTATACGGGGCTGATAAGGGAGGTGCAAGGGGGGGGTGTAAGAGGGGTATGAGAGGGGCATAAGGGGGCTCAAATCGTAAACCCGAATCAAGCCTATACAGTGTATAGCCAGTCGCTTGGCAGCAGATGGAGAGGACCCAAAAAAGTACCAAATAGTACGCTCTACTTCTATTGGGTCATTCTTAGGAACCCTTTTAAAGGGGATCTACTTTTTGGATCCTCCCAGAGGTCTGGGACCCCAAACCCCAAACCCCAAACCCCAAACCCTAAACCCTAAACCCTAACATGTTGGTCCTTGATATCGGCGGCCACTCGCCGACGTGCGGCCTCGTCGGAGGCTGCACGCTGCTCCGAGGCGTGCACCTCGCCCAATGGTTCTTGGGGGGTTTTGGGGGGTTTAGGGTTTAGGGTTTAGGGTTTAGGGTTTAGGGTTTAGGGTTTAGAGTTTAGGGTTTAGGGTAGGGGGGTTTAGAGGGTTTAGGGTTTCGGGGATGGGAGCAAAGAGGAAAGGAATTGGGGTTTTGGGTTTCAGGGTTTGGGGTCTACGTGCACTCCGCCCCAAGGGGTTTAAGTCGGCTTCGGGTTTCGGGGTTTGGGGCTCCCTAAACCCTAAACCCTAAACCCTAAACCCTAAACCCTAAACCCTAAACCCTAAACCCTAAACCCTAAACCTTGATGGCTCGGGGTTCAGGGTTTTGCGGCTCGGAGGCCTTCGGGCTTCGGGTTTGAAGCATTTCGGTTTTCGGGGTTTAGGGTTTGGGGTTCGTTGTGAAGGGAACTTTAGAGGTGTTCTAAGTTGAGAGTGATGGGGCTTCTTGAAAGGAGGAGGGTCTTGGTGCTCCAGTCAGGGTTCAGGGTTTAGGGTTTAGGGTTCAGGATTTAGGGTTTAGATGGGTTTAGGGTTTAGGGTTTAGAGTTTAGGTTTAGGGTTTAGGGTTTAGAGTTTAGGGTTTAGGGTTTAGGGTTTCGGATTTCGGGCTTCGTCTACTTTGGCGCTTGCCGAAGGCAACATTGGGTATGCCCGAGGCCAGGGCGGCTTCGAGGCCTGTGACTTGTGCTCCAAATAAACTCGAAAAGCCGAAGCCCTACCCCTCGGGGTTTGGGGTTTGGGGTTTAGGGTAGTTACCTCAGTTGCTCAGGTCATAGGCCCCTCAAAAAGTGTACACTTTCAGTTCTATAGGGGATTCTAGAATCCCAAAAAGTGTAGAGTGTGCTCATTCAGCTACTAACCCTAAACCCCTCAAAACTCGGGGATTCTCTTTCCCGCAAGCCCTAATCAGGATTCAAACCCTAAACCCTAAACCAATAAACTCCAAAAGCCTGACACCCTGGCTCGAGCAACTCCTAGTACGTTTAAGCCCTGAATCCTAAAGGTCTTTACCCTGAAGACGTAAACCCTGAACCCTCAGCCCTAAACCTAAACCCTACACTCTAAAGCCGAAAAACACCAACCCCAAAAGGGAGCCGGCGTCTGAGTCCCCAAAGCTGTTGTCTCTTCTTATTGCTCCTCAGGTTTTACGGTTTAGGAATAGTGCTCAGGCCTCGGGGTCAGGGCAGCTTCTCTTCCAGACACCAAGACCAAAGCAACTGTCGAAACCCCAATACGTTTGTTATGGCACATGGGCCCTCATTAAGGGGTACTGGCTAGCACCTGGGGGGGGCGCAGGTAATCCTGAAACCCTGAAACCGAAAACGAAACCCCAAGTCCCTACACCGTAAACAATGATAAAAGGCTCTATAGACAACCCCTAAACAATCCCCCCACTCGCTCCCAAGAAACAAAACCACAACAAGTAAACCCTCAACGCTGACCCTTTCGCCCTAAACCCACCCACCCCCCCTCCCTCCTCCGCCTGAACCCTATAAAGCCTAACCCCTCTTCCCCGCAAGCCTGGGCCGCATTTTCGGCGGCAAGTCGTGAAGATTTCTGGAGCAGACAACCCTAAACCCTAAACCCTAAACCCTAAACCCTAAACCCTAAACCCTAAACCCTAAACCCTAAACCCCAAGACCACTGTTGGAGGCTCGGGTGCGGGTTTCGGGTTTCGGGTTTGGGCAGCTCTCTAAAAACAGGGTACCTTCTGGGGGTCCTTTCTTCAAAAGAGGTTTAGGGTTTAGGGTTTAGGATTCAGGGTTTAAGTACTATCTTGGGCACCCTAGACAGGGAACCCCATTTAGAGAGCTACTCGTTTGGGGTTCAGGGTTTACGGTGGTAAAGTCTACTTGAAGTCTCACGGCAGAGGTTTATGTGTACATACTTAGAACTGGGGTTGCAAGTGCAGCAGCTGTGATTAGGTTGTCGCGGGGCACTTCGAACCCTAAACCCGGAACCCTAAACCTAAACCCTCAACGCTAAACAAGCAGCGTAAACACTCGACCAACCGGGGGCTAGAGTTAGGGTTTAGGGTTTAGGGTTTAGGGTTTAGGGTTTAGGGTTTAGGGTTTAGGGTTTAGGGTTTAGGGTTTAGGGTTTAGGGTTTAGGGTTTAGGGTTTAGGATCCCATGTCGGGCGGGTGGGCGTGCCTAAGGTAGCTTGAGGGGTTGGGGGAGCTTAGAGCTCCAGGGGTTTTGGGCTTTAGACTTCACCGATTTCAAGGGGCTCCAGGGAATTCAGGGATACAGGGCTTTACCCAAAACCCCCAAAACCCAAAAACCGAAACCCTAAGCCTAATCTCTAGACCTTGGGCGACCGAAGCCCCATGAGCCTGCAGAAGCATACCTAGGGGGTGCCTAGGGTTTAGGGTTTAGAGGCTTTTAGGGTTTAGGGCTTAGGGTTTAGGGTTTTGAAGATAGGGTTTAGGGTTTAGAGGCTTTTAGGGTTTAGGGCTTGGGGTCTAGGCTGAGGGTTGAGTTCGGGTTTGAGGCCCCTGACAGTCCTGAAGACTCTTTCCTGCTAGCGGAGTTTTGGCTGCGGTGTGCTTTTCAACATGCAACCCAGTGAGATTGGGACGTTCCCCCTTAAACGAACAGTCCTTAATAGGGAATATGATAGGGGGGGGGGGGTACAGTACCATAATCCCTATTATGGACTGCTAGTAAGGGAGAACATTCTTGTATTCGTTGTTGTCTCTTTCCAAGCTTTAAGTTTCCTGCTCCGATCTCAGAAGCTTTAGGGAAAGCAACGCCTAAACCCCAAACCCTAAAGTCTAACCCTACGCCTCCCCGATGGGAGTGCTGGAAACCCCGACCCGATTCTTGTTTCTTTTTTCTGGCTGGCGTTTTCGCACGGCCTCTCCGCCAAGCTCGGATGTCCCGCAAAATCCCTTGACCACAAACCCCTGCTAGAGTCTAGTCCTCAATCCCCAACAACCCCTCTTCAGAAGCGCGCCGCTTGAAGCTAGAAGTAGTCGGAAGATGATCTGCAAGCCCCTGCCGGACCCCGAAACCCCGCCACCTCTCATCGCAGTGACACGTTGACTCGTTGGCCCAAAGCCGCGCAAATCGAGACAAGGGGCTCTAGCGACCTAAACTAGGCCTTGTACCATCACAGGCTGGTGAACACTAACAACTCTAGAAGTTCTAAGAGTTCAAAGTTCCAACGGCTCAATCAATTTCACAGTCGTATCTACAAAGTCATTTACATTTATGACAGTAACAACACAACTACGAGACCTAGAAATACTTTGTACTTATCGTCACAATACAAATCGTACCACTTTTTCTCTGTAGTTTAGGTCAACTTCCAGTCCCCCGTCAGCTCACGCCACTGCGTACCCAACGATCTGTGTGGTGCATGGCCAATCGCCATGGCACAAGTAGTGTTTCCTCAGCGTCAGAGGACTCTCCTACCTAATGTTTCAGTACCTAAAAAACTCAGTGCAACTGTATCTTCTTGAGGTGTGTATAGGGTTTAGGGTTTGCGGTGCATCTGAAATATGCAGAACAAACTCGGAGCTTGGGTCATACAGTGTCCACTTGAGTGCGCTGGAGCAGTCCCGAAGAAAGGGGACTGGATCCCCATGACCTCCCTTTGTCTCCCTAAACTGTTACTTAGGGTTTAGGGCTTAGGGCTCAGGGCTTAGGGTTTAGGGTTTCGCCAGCTCAGCAAGCATACGTCAAGACCAGAAACTCTAAACCTTTCCTGAGTCTTCTGCTTGTTGGGAACGTCTGTGTTGAAAGAGATTCCCACAATCTTTCCTAGAGGAATCTCATGACCTACATAGAAGGTTTAGGGTTTAGGGTTTAGGGTTTAGGGTGTAGCGTGTAGGGAACCCTTGCAGGGGTACTATATACTCTGCAGTGAAGGCACAGAGTCGTTTTTTGGCGGCTTTGCCTCCTTTTGTCCCGAAGCAAAAACTTTACCCTAAACCCGAAACTTAAGGCCTAGGCCGTCGCCCATACATGTCCAGTGCGTCCGAGTGGCAAAACGGGAACAGACGTGAAGAGCTGTTCAGCATGGGCGGACAAGATTGAACGGTCCTGCTGCCTTCCAGCTGCAATCCGGGCCCAAAACCCTAAAGCCTAAACCCTAAACCCTAAAGCCTAAACCCTTGTTGCAATATTACGCTAGGTTCAGGGCTTACAGGGTTTAGGGCTTTTTGCAGTTGGTTTAGGGCTCAATAATGAGCTGGCTTCCTGGCAGGCTCATCAGCAATCCCTTGTGATCGTTGTGAAGAAAAGCCGCTTTTTTTCTGCCAGTACCAGGGGCAAGCGATGAGGAATCCAATCCACAACTCTTAAGTGTGCTGAGGCCGCAGAATCTTGCAGATCGAAGTATCTTGCTCGGAAACCCTTGTCTTTGGGGGTGCACCTAACTAATTCAGGCCGGTCCATATGTGCTATATTGAAAAACCTCGTTACCACTAAAAACCCTAAACCCTAAACCCTAAACCCTAAAACCTAAACGCTGAACCCTAAACCCTAAACCCTAAGCCCTAAGCCCTAAACCCTAAACCCTAAACCCTAAACCCTAAACCCTAAACCCTAATCTCCTAAACAGGTACCGAAGCTAGGAACCGTCGTTGGAGGGCTGCGTACTTTGAAGAGGTTTCATTGGGTTTAGGGTTTAGGGTTTAGGGTTTAGGGTTTAGGGTTTAGGGTTTAGGGTTTAGGGTTTAGGGTTTAGGGTTTAGGGTTTAGGGTTTAGGGTTTCTCTACCCTACACCTTAGAACTGCCTGGTGTGTGATCTTGGGGCTTAGGGTGAAAGAGGTGTAAGGGTAAACCATCTCAAGCCAGAGGTAGACATTCATCATCAACTGACATGTGGAACCCAAAGCTTTGCGGGCCAGGGAAAATTCAACAGGTTCTAGGGGCCATGTTCACAGAAAGTACCCACAGTTCACAATCGAAGCATTGCTTAAACCAAGCCTAAACCCTAAACCCTAAACCCTAAACCCTAAACCCTCAACCCTCAACCCTCAACCCTCAACCCTCAACCCTAAACCCTAAACCCTCTACCACCTTGTGAGGTGGCAGCCCTTGCAGCAAAAGGCATGCAACGGGTGGAGCACCTGGCAAGCCGCGGGGATGGGGGTTTCGAGTCGTCGAGGATTTAGGGCTCCCGTGTGGGCATCGGCCCAGCTCTTTGAGTAGGGTTTGGGTTTAGGGTTTAGGGTTTAGGGTTTAGGATTTAGGGTTTGGGGTTTAGATATAGAGGCCTGTCGAAACAGAATGGGTACTTGGGAGAAATTGGATCGAAGTCGATGCGATGCAGATGAGACTGACTTTTTTTGCACACCCGCATGAACATGCTATATTTGGTTTAGGGTTTAGGGTTTAGGGTTCAGGGTTTAGGGAAATGGTCTGTAGCAGATGTTCAATGGCGAGGGAACCGGCAGTGCCTGTCGGAACAAGTCGTTTCAGCAATGTCAAATGCACGCACGCGTGGTCGCATAAGGGCGCAAGCCTCGACTGAGAAGCGGGTAAGCTTGGAGGAGACATGGCATTGCTCATCATGAAGTCAAAGCATTGCCCCAACAGCTGCAATTGATGGCCATGCTGTAAGGCGGCGCGAAATATCGCAGAATGACCAAGGGCAGCTCGGAAACGTAGGTATTTGGTGAAGGGTATATGAAGTTTGGGGGGGCAGGCTTCAAGACTCGACCTCCCCAAAACCACACCCTACGCTGAACATCCCTACGCTGATGAAGGGCCTGTTCTACTCTTTTGATCCTTGGATGTCTTCCCTAAACCCTAAACCCTAAACCCTAAACCCTAAACCCTAAACCCTAAACCCAGATGGAAGGACACTAAGGGGATCATCTCAGATGAGTAGCGACCCTAAGCCCGAAACCCTCCGGCCCACGCTCCTACTTATTATAGGGTTCTTAAGGGAGGGGGGTTCATGGGAGTTGGGTTTAGGGTTTAGGGTTTAGGGTTTAGGGTTTAGGGTTTAGGGTTTAGTGCCTAGGGAAGCTTAAGGAAGCTTAGGGAGCCTGAGGGACTAGTGAGGAGTACGAGGGAACCTTGCGTTACATACTCGCGTCCATGAAAAAACCCTACGAAAACTGCGCAAGACACACCCCAACCCCTAAACCCTAAACCCAAAAACCCTGAACCCTGAACCCAAAACCCTAAACCCTAAACTCTAAACCCTAAACCCTCAACCGTAAACCGTAAACCGTAAACCCTAAACCCTAAACCCTAAACACTAAACCCTAAACCCTAAGCCCTAAAACCCTAAAACCCAAGCCTCCTGCTGCCAACGCAGCGCCGACCCGGTAGGAGCACGGATGTGCTCTAGGAAGAGGTAGCGGCCTGCTGGGGTTTAGGGTTTAGGGTTTAGGGTTTAGGGTTTAGGGTGTAGGGTTTAGGGTTTAGGGTTTAGGCTTTCACGGTTTGCGGTTGGGGTTTGTGCGCAAGATCCGACCAGCCCTCACCTGCAAGCTAGAAAAAGCCAGAACTGTGAACAAGCCTAAAACATCTGAACACCCATACGCCGTAAACTTCAATTCAAAAAACGCTTCAACCCTAGAGACCCTAAACTCTAACATAAACCCTGCGGCCCTACACTTCAGCACAATTGCCCGCGACACGGTGCCTTGGGGCCATTCGAATTCAATGCTTTGCGATGTCCAGGGCTTAGTGTTTAACCCTAAACCCCAAACCCCAAACCCCAAACCCCAAAACCCTAAACCCTAAACCCTAAACCCTAAACCCTAAACCCTAAACCCTAAACCCTAAACCCTAAACCCTAAACCCTAAACCCTAAACCGAACTTGTTCGAGGACTGGCAAGGACAAGGAGCTGTTCGACCTAACTCGGAGTTCTGGGCTGCCAAAGCCTTGAAGACTTTAAACATACATCCTGAACCCTGAGGCCCTAAGCCCTGAACCTTAAACCCGCGCTTTGGGGGGGTTTGGGATTTAGGGTTTAGGGTTTAGGGTTTAGGGTTTAGGGTTTAGGGTTTCAGGATTCAGGATTTAGGGTTTAGGGTTTAGAGATTTAGGGATTTAGGGTTTAGGGATTCAGGGTTTAGGGGTTTAGGGGTTTAGGGATTTAGGGTTTAGGGATTTAGGGTTTAGGGTTTAGTCAGTGCAGGGGTGTTGGGCCGATTTCGGGACTCCCTGTGGTTTGAGCCCAGAAACAAAAGACATCTTGGGGAGGGGCGTTCCCTGGTGGGGTATCTTAGGGTTTCCAAAGTTAGGGTTTAGGGTTTAGGGTTCAGGGTTCAGGGTTCAGGGTTTAGGGTTTAGGGTTTAGGGTTTAGGGGAATAGACGGACGGGCACCAAACAATTGTAAGAGTTATATTTGCCACACCTGAAAAGGGCCTAGAGGAATCCCGAAGACCCAAAATCCCGACGTCCCTAAACCCCCAAGCGCCCTAAACTAAACCATTTGCGGAACCGTTCCTTCAAAAAGGCAGATGTTCCCGGCAGGGTTTAGGGTTTAGGGTTTAGGGCTACAACCCTCCCGCTGGAAAAGCTCAGGGCCAAAACTTGTAACTTTCTGCAGGCTTCTGAAGTTTAGGGTTTAGGGTTTTGGGATGAAGGTCCTAACCTACCTACCCAGTTTAGATATATCAGTTTAGGTAAACCCTAAATCCTCAACCCAAAGCTCAAAACCCTAAACCCTAAACCCTAAACCCTGTAGACCCTGTTCCGGCCTCCAGGTTTCAGAACACGCGCAATTTCCTCGTGTGTTTAGGGGTTTGGGGTTTGGGGTTTAGGGTTTAGGGTTTAGGGTTACCTGAAGAAGCCTACTCACTCCTCCCTAAACCTCACATCCCGAAATCCGGTGTTTGGATTTTCGGATTTAGGGCTTAAACCCCGAACCCTGGAGGCCTGCCAGACCCTATGGGAGGCAGGTTCTATGGTTTAGGGGTTACAAAAGGCTGTAGGGTTTTAGAGTTTTGGGTTTGGGGTTTTGGGGTGTGGGGTTGCAGGTCCTGCTGCGCCAAAAACTTCGGAGACCCCATGATGGAACGTAACCCGACACCTCCTCAATGACCCTCAACCGCTGAGCCGTGTCAACCCTCTGTAGACCACAAAACCCTATCAAACCCTACCAAGCACTTTACCCCTATCCAGTGTGTGGAAAAGTGGGGCCCCCACAGCGTTCTTTCTCTATCTAAACCCATATTATGAACCCTACGAAAACCTGTTGAATACCTGAATAAACAACCTGATAGCCCTATAAAACCCCTACAACCCTATAAAAAACCTAAACGTCGCAAAACCAGACCAAACCCTCTAATGAAACCCTATCGAACCCCTGCAAACACCCCCTGGTCCCTAAACCCTAGACACGAAACCCTAAACCTCCAACCCCTAACCCCTCCTAACCCCTAACCCCTAACCCCTAACCCCTAAACCCTAAACCCTAAACCCTAAACCCTAAACCCTAAACCCTAAACCCTAAACCCTAAGCCGGGCATCTCGGAGCGCGGTGTCCGGATCCCTAACGCTGCAGAGGACCAGCGAGGCTACCTTAAGGAGCTTCAGGATTTGAAGGGTTTAGGGTTTAGGGTTTCGGGTTTGGGGTTTGGGGTTTAGGGTTTAGGGTTTAGGGTTTAGGGTGTAGGGGTTTGGGGGTTTGGGGGGTTTGGGGGTTTGGGGGCTTGGGGGTTTAGGGGTCTAGGGCTTTAGGGTTTAGGGTTTAGGGGTTTGGGGGTTTAGGGGTTTAGGGCTTTAAGGGGTTTTGGGGTTATAGGGTTTTAGGGTTTGAAGGAGCTTCAGAGGCTTTTAGTGTTTCAGTGGCTTACGGACTGTTATGGCTTTAGGGTGTTTAGGGTGTTCGGCTTTCGGGTTGCAGGGGTGAGTGCTTTAATGGGTGTCAGGGTTTTCGGGGCTTAGGGACCCTAAACCCTAAACCCTAAACCCTAAAACCTGAAGGTTCAGGGTTTCGCAGGGCCATAGGCTAGAAGGCACAAGGCAGCTCCCCAAAGCCCCAAGCCCAAAGAGTGCTTCAAACCGGAACCCTGTGTAAGTTTAGGCGGTTTAGGGTTTAGGGTTTAGGGTTTAGGGTTTAGGGTTTAGGGTTTAGGCATCGCATGAAGGTTCACATTGGGTTTAGGGGTTTTGGGGTTGGCCTTTGTGACGGGGCATGCTCTGCGGCTGCTCTTGCAGAACACAGTTTGGGGCTTAGGGTTTGGGGTTTCGGGCCATACCTTAAGCTTAAAACCCGCACCCTAAACCTTAAACCCCAAGACCTAAACCCTCCAATCCCCCCCCCCCCCCCCCCCCAAATGCACGCCGAGATTCCACGGCATCAAAGCTGTTGTCTGGGAATGGAAGGGCCTGCTGTGGCCCTAAACCCTAAACCCTAAACCCTAAAACCTAAACCCTAAACCCTAAACCCTAAGAGGGCCCCACGGAAGCGGGAGATACGACCATGTGCCGACATGCCGCTGGGGGTCTGCGGAAGGGATGCCGATTAGGCTGTTCGAGGGGGCTCCAATGCCCCTCTCCAGCTAGGGTTTGGGGTTTAGGGTTTAGGGTTTGGGGTTTAGGGTTTAGGGTCTGGGGTTTAGGGCTACGCTTGTGCCTGAAATCGGGTGTGAAGCAACCGTGTTGCCGGGTACGAAACAACCCTGACCCGGCAACTGCAAGATCCTCCTATAAAGTGCTCGCCTCACAACCACAGCACGTTGCTGTAGGATTTAAGGTTCCTCCCTGTTGACGCTTAGACATTGGGATGTTCCCGTAGCAGTCCTTAGCAGGGATTAATTATAGTACCCCTTACCATAATCCCTACTAAGGACTATTAGTATACGGGGGAACAACCCTAAACCCTAAACCCTAAACCCTACACCCTAAACCCTAAACCCTAAACCTTCTTCCTTCCTTCCACAGCCGAAGATCCCCCCCTTGCGGGGAAGGACCGCCCCAAGGGGCCAGCAATACAGAGTCTGTTGGTGTGATAGGTTTGGAAGGTGGTGGGTGGTATCACGAAGCAACAGCTAACACCACGCAGTGCCAACCACGGTACCATGTAGAACAAGTGTGTGTTCCCCACCAGCTGCCGAAAACGTCCCTTTAGGACAAAACATGAGGAAGGCAAAAGCGTGGGAGCCAATGGTATATGCCCCCGCCCCGAATTGAGACCTTCCTCTTAGGTATACTCCCCACAGTCAGGGTGGAGTAGGTGTGGTTCCCTCCCCACAGTTTTGGTGGGTTGGGGCTGTAGACAGAATACGAGGTTTGAAGATTGTCCCTCCCTTCCCCAACAACCGAAATCCCCCAAATCAACCGAACAACACCCAGGGACCCACGAGGGGAAGGGAGGGGAAGAAGCGATTTCCCTAGGGCGGCTGATTGTGCAGTACGGCGAGGCTTCGCTCACTTGGATTAATTGGTTGGCTACGGTCTCCCCTTATGTCCCGAAAACATCCCCCTTAAGGTTGTTATCCTAAACCTTCTCTCTCTCTCTCAGTCGCGCAGAGCGTGTCCACAGGTGAGACCGCTCGTCAGCAGCCCTTTCAATGGGACTAGCGTGCGGGGAAAACATAGAGTTGGCGGAAGCATACAGCTTGGGGAACAAGTACAGGGAAACTACATACGCGATCGACATGTATATAGAGGGCTCTTCGCAACCCTTTTCGGGTGAGACGATGGCAGGACTAGGGTAAATTTTCCGGCCACCGTGGGGAAAAGCTTAGTTAGAAAGGACGCTTCTATAGTCGCTGCTCACCCGACGCACAGGGGGAATTCGTGACCACTCGTCGATAAAAGATGGATCACCTGATAAGTCAGTCGACGTTGGCGTAGAGCATGGGAAGGCCGTGGTCCTCCGGTTCGCCTCATGTCGGCTCCCCTAGACAGCATTGTGGAATAGTTCAAGAAGGCCGCTTGCTAAGTTGGGGTCAATGTCATCCTGTATGGTAATCCAAAAAAAATGCGCCGTCGGAAGGTGGAGACATGCACTTGCAGACCTGACAGTCTGATGGGGTGTTCCAGAGGTTTACGGTTGCATCATTGGGAGCCACCGGTCTCCCATGGTTGGCAAAACACATAGGCAAAAGCGGCAGGGTCAAGTGGAACAAACGTAGAGAGGCGCAGCACTCCCACATCGGTCTGGAAATACAGTGCGGGATGACATTCAGACCCACGTAAAACCTCCAGAATAATTTGTTGGAAAGCATCATACCAGTCGAAGTTGATGGCCAGGTAGGAAAAAACTAAGGAGAGCCCATCCTCCACTGATAATCTGACCGTCGTAGCGGTGGAATTGAATACCGACCTGAAGTTGACGGTCAGGCGCATGTGCTTGTATTGGCAATCGGCAAGAAGTCGTAATGGCAATCACTGCGGGACATAGTGGCAATCTTGCGGTTCGAGTGAAGCTGGTACCATGGCGGCACGGATAAGGAAAGGGACGATCCACGCTGTCTTGTGCCAGAACCTAAACCCTAAACCCTAATTTAAAGAGCAAGCTACCCCCCCCAAAAAAAAACGGGGGGGGGGACGACGGGGGATTCCGACCTCTGCCCAGCCCCTGACGGCTCGGAAGTCCATGCCTGCCAGGGGCACGGTTTCTGGATCTATAGGTTTTAAGGCTAGCCCTAAACCCTAAACCCTGAACCTTGAATCCTAAACCCTAAACCCTAAACCGAGGCGTCCCCAACCGCCCTGGAATCGGGGTTCGGGGTCCTCTTTGAGCCGCCTGAGCGAACCCAAGCAACAAGGTAAGAATCCATGAATATTTAGGGTTTAGGGTTTAGGGTCTAGGGTACAGGGTTCAGGGTTCAGCACGTCATGGGAGGGGCTCGCCACCCCTCCCAAACTCGAGCCGGCACGGAAAAAAAAACCCAGACCCGAAGTCCTGGAAACTGTGGTCCTCCAGCCTTGGATTAGGGTGTAGGGCTTAGAATTTTAGGGTTTCCGGTGTGGCTTTTGCTTCAAGAAGGGTTGGCAGTGGTTGTGATTTTTAGAGCCCTCGTGGGCGAAGAAGGTTTGATGCTTCGAGGAAGCTCGGGGAAAACAAAAACATTTCTTGGCTGCACTTAGCAGGGTAGCTATTAATTATTTTTTTAGCTGCCTTCTTAAGAAACCCAATAAGCCCAAAAAGGCTAAGGATCTAAAGTTACAGTAAAGAACCACAAAGATTACTTACCAGGGCTGAAGGGACCAGAATTGCCAGGATTTTTCGATTTGGGTGGTTCTCTAAACTAGGTTCCCTTTGGTAGTCCCTATACAGTACGGTACCTTTCCAAGAAGGACCAAGAACGGGAACCTAATTTAGAGAACGGCCCATTTGTTCTTGTTGCTTGTCACAGAACTGGCTTACAATACACTCCACACTCGCAACCACTGGCTCAGGGATATGCTCACCGGTGTGTAGAAAGAGTTGCATATGCAAACAGGTATGTAACCAGGCTAACATGGTTTAGGGTCCGCGTAGCTAGCTCTATTCAAATGCTTCTGAAGATTAGCAATAATTGCTTTGGCCATTGCTAGATTTTACTTCCGCGTAATTCCACATTCTTCACCCATTTGACCTGCTTCTTCTAAGTAGAAGCTACTGTTGTGCAAATCAAACACTAAGCCCTAAACCCTAAACCTAGAGACCAAACGCTTTAAGCTGTAAAGCTTTGACTTTCGGCTTTCGGGTCTCGGGTTTGAATCGATAGCCCATCATGGCAACACGATTCGGCCGCCGCCTCTAGGCTTCTTTGGCCAGACTGTGCTTGAGGATACCTGCAGCAGAATTGGGGCCGTTTGGTTGGGGTTTAGGGTTTGGAGCTTAAGTCTTGGGCATAGCGACAGATTTGTTTCGTTCTTCTGTGATCGCATTCAGGATACCCGAAAAAAGACTCCATGGTTGGAAAACTGCCTACATAAGAAGCAGAAAGCGCAACTTGCCGAGTCAAGGACAAGGCTTAATATCTATCTCATGCCCTCCCTGAAGATTTCTAGACCCAATGGGTTCAAGATTCAAGGTGCAGGATTGAATTCTCACACAGGAGAATCCATCTAAATTGCCCACTCTGCACAGGCTTAGATGCTCCTACACCCTAATCCCTAAACCCGAATAAACCCTAAGCCCTAAACCCTGGACGTGACTCAACCATCGAACTGTCTACGATCCACCCAGGGTTTGTGGCCTTCTACCCTATTCCCATAAGAGCCCAATACCTCGCAAGGAAAAGGCCTTGAAATCACGATATGGCCAGTTCTCAATATTATGGCCTCCTTTTTGGGCACCCTAAATAAGAGGGGCCGCCTTGGAGGCGTAACCCCAGAATGTGTGCATATTTTCGAGAACTCGCCATATTGAATTTGTGTCTGTTCCTTAACTGTCAGGGCTTTGTCATGACGGTATGGCCGATGACGCTGGTGGCAGGAGAACCATGGAAGGTTCAGGGCAAATTGCCCAGGGTTCAGGGTTTAGGGTCTGGAACTGCATGTCTTTGCAGACATTCTGATTGCGTATTCTTGCAGTTGCCAATAGCAGGATGGAGCGGGCTTCGAAAAATCGAAAGTATATAACCCTACAACCCTAAACCCTGAACCCTAAACCCCGATAACAAGCCTTCAACAGCCCCTAAGTCCGAAACTCGTGGCTCCACAGGGCCCAAAAGCCTCTGGATCCAAACCGACGAGGGAAACAGTCGCTGGGTAAAGCCTCAGATGCTGCTTCAGAGGCTGTTTGGTTTAGTGTTTAGGGTTTATCCCCTCCAGGGTTTCTGGGCTTGTACGGTCGACTGTGGTCTCGAGCTCTGAAGATAAACCCCTTGTACCAATGCCAGGGCCAACTTCTTAACCCCAAGTAAGTGGGGTTGCTCTAGGGGTTAGGGCTTCGGGTGTGGAGTGTAAACCCTAAACCCTAAACCCTAAACCCTAAACCCTAAACCTTTTTGCACTTTGAAGATGCCCCAGGTATGCTCCTTGACACCTCTGCTGGACGCCTGCTATGGCTTGTCTCTAAGGTGGCGGGGGTGGCTTTGTCTCCTGGGCATGTGCTGCTCGAAGGGGATCTCCATGTAGGTATATGTGTCAGAAGCACCCCTAAACCCTAAACCCTAAACCCTAAACCCTCAACCGAAGCCCTAAACCCTCAACCCTAAACCCTAAGCCCGAAACCCTAAACATGTCTCTCTTAGGGTTTAGGGTTTAGGGTTTAGGGTTTAGGGTCTAGGGTTTAGGGTTTAGACCTCAAGAACATGGGGTGCAGCATCACCTTCAAGACCTCAAACCCGAACCCTTACACCACGAACCCGAAACCCCAAACCCAAACCCTAAACCCCAAACCCTACACCTTATGGCTTTGCACTGGTATTGGTGCACCCCAGGTTTAGGGTTTAGGGTTTTAGGGTTTTAGGGGTTTAGGGTTTTAGGGTTTCCGGTTTTTCAACCGAGGAGCGGCAAGTTCGAGGCCCAAGTCTCCACGCCAATGCCCACCTTTTTGGGGAGAGGTGGGGGGGGGGGGCTTTTGGGGTGTTTTTTTGAGGGGCTTGTTTTTTTGTTCTTAGGGGTGTTGTTAAGGGGGGTTTGGGGGTGTTTTTCGGGGGTGCTTAGAGGTGTTTTGAGGTGTTTAGGGGTGTTTAGGGGTGTTTGGGGATGTTTGGGGGTGTTTAAGGGTGCAGAATTCTCGGGAGTTTCGGGAGTGTAGGCTGTTTAGGGTGGGCTCTCGCTCTCTGAATCTCTCGCTCTCTCGCTCTCTCGCTCTCTCGCTCTCTCGCTCTCTCGCTCTCTCGCTCTCTCGCTCTCTCGCTCTCTCGCTCTCTCGCTCTCTCGCTCTCTCGCTCTCTTTCTCTTTTTTTTGCTCTCTCTACATCATGGCCCCTTTCGGGGGGTGGACGGGCTCATGGGGAAATGGGGAGTGCGCTATATACAATAATTAGGTATCCAACAGAAAGATGCCAATTGCTGGGAAGTTAAGGCACATCCCAACCATACAGGCCTTTGAGACTGCAAGGTTAGTTCAGGTGTTCACACAAGCACCCTACGAAGCCCTGCATGCTAAGCCGAAACGCCTCAACTATGAAAACCTTGGCTTCATGTAACTGGACAAAGAACACCCACACGCTGTGGCGAAGGCACAGGCCCTTTTGAAAGCAAGCCTTCCCGAACCCGCAAAACTCTCAATCCTAGGCCCAATTGGGATGTTCCCCCTTCTACAAACAGTCCTGGGATTATGATAAGCCCCCGAAACCCTAGGGGCCTCAAACTCCAGTTCCCAAGCAGAGCCCTCTGCTTTCAAAGGCCTTACTGTTGGTTAGTAGGAAATTGGGGGAATGAGGTACCCTATATAATCCCTTAAAGGGTATATATGACCGGCAGCAAGTCAAAGACCTCCAAGACGGTGGCGGAGCCGGAGGGTAACAGTGACAGCATCTCGCGCCTCGCCTAGGACTTCGCTTTCAGTGTGAGGGGCCCTAGACCCTAAACCCTAAACCCTCAACCCGCAACCCATCAACCCATCAACCCATCAACCCATCAACCCATCAACCCCTCAACCCCTCAACCCCTCAACCCATCAACCCATCAACCCTAAACCCTAATGCAAGCCTTGGGCTCCTATATGTAGGATCGTGCTTTTGGGGTACTAGTGATGGGTACGCCTGAACGTCATGGCTCGGAAAGCTCAGGGTGTCTAGGGCTTCCACGCAGTGAAGGTGCAGTAGGGTTTAGGGTTTAGATATTAGGGTTTAGGTTTTAGGGTTTCGGGTCTAGGGATTAGGGTAGGGTTTAGAGGTTAGGGTTAGGGGTTTAGGGTTTAGGCCCACTTCGAGAACTGCAGATGATAAGTTGCCCACACAGGAGCTATGGGCAGAGTTCGCAGGCGCTTAGCTCACAACCAACACGAAGCAACTCAGAGCAACGCCCGAAAATGAGCTCATACGATCGGACACACCTTCAACATCTTAAGGCCGATGTTCATCGCAAGCCGTAAGCCCCACACCTTGCAACATTCCAGCCACCCTTGAACCCTAAACCCCAAACCCCCAACCCTAAATCCTAAACCCTAAACCCTAAACCCTAACCCCTGGACCCCCCCCCAAAAAAAAACACAACAGAGGAAGGCTTCGAACCCATAGCCCTGAATGTTCGAGTTTATTGCTGGGATAGTATCGAAGATTTAAGTTTCTATTCCTTATTGAGTTTAAGTGCCCCTGAAGGATTTAAGTTTCTATTCCTCATTGAGTTTAATTTCTTATTGAGTTTAAGTATCCCTAAACATGTAAAATAAGATTTAAGTTGCTATTGCTTGTTGAGTTTAAGTACCCTTAAACAAGTAAAACATGTCACCCCACTGTGACAAAGTGTTGAGAAGCTGCAGCCTAGGATCGGCCAGAAGCCGCGGGGGATCGACCCCATCCAGGATGCTCTGGTAGGTCTCCAGTCCTGGGGTCTGGATGTTTAGGGTTAGGGTTAGGGTTTAGGGTTTAGGGTTTAGGGTTTAGGGTTTAGGGTTGAGGGTTGAGGGTTGAGGGTTGAGGGTTGAGGGTTGAGGGTTGAGGGTTGAGGGTTGAGGGTTTAGGGTTTAGGGTTTAGGGTTTGGAGGCTCGGGTAGGTCGGGCTCTAGGGTTTGGGGGGTTGTGGTCTACCCTACTTTGGAGAAGACCTTGGAAAACAAGTATATGCTTTTTGGGTATAAGTAGCTATCATCGGAACCCAGAACCCCAAAAAAGGTATTCAGGTATAGTACTCCAAAACCCAGTTTACGGTAGATAGCCTAGGGTTTGGGGTCTGGGCTTGAGAATCTGATATTGTTCATGGTTCGCCGTCCGGTGTTCTTGGTGTTCTTGCGCTGTTGTGGGTGCCGCTGGATATGGCTGCAGCATCTGGTTTTTGCTGCTGGCCGTTGTACAAACTGTCTTGAGGCTTTTACAAGGGGTAAGCGTACTACAGGTTCGAAAGGACGGGACGAGGAAACAGAAGGGACCCCTACTATCGTCCCCAAAATAATGGGATTCCCTTATGTCCCCAAAATAATGGAATTCCCTTATAATAAGGACCCCGATAAGGTAACCCTAATTTCGAAAAAAAACCGCTGTAGACGAGGGCTGAAGAAATCACAGGGAGTCCATGCACGGCCACCATGACGCGATCAAACGTGTCGCGCGCCCGGAGCCTGCCACATGACTGCTCATGGGGGTTTAGGGTTTAGGGTTTAGGGTTTAGGGTTTAGGGTTTAGGGTTTAGGCTTCAGGGATGCCGAAATAACATTCTAGCCCTCGACTTCCAAAAGTATTAAGGCCCTCAAGCCCCGAAAAAACTGCTCACAACCCAAGCGTGGGAATTAGGGTTTAGGATCAGGGCTTGGGGTCAGTTTAGGGTTTACGGTTTAGAGATAGGGTTTAGCTCCCTAAACGCCAGAACCGTTCAACACCCAGACCCTGAACCCTGCAACACCTTGGCATCAAAGAATGCACACACCCTGAACCCTATAAACCCTAACTCGTACACCCACCCAGCTCCCGCAAATGACCCTAATCCCTAAACCCTAAAGCCTGATGCCCGAGCCCTCGAACTGCTCCATCTATGCGCCGAATCCACAGGGTCACAGGTGCTTTGTTGGGGTTTTCGAGCTAAGGAAGTTGCCTTCCAGGGTTTAGGGTTTAGGGTTTATGGATGTTTAGGGTTTAGGGTGCAGGGTGTAGGGTTTAGGGTTTAGGGTTGAACCCTAAACCCGACATCCTAAACACGACTTTCCAATGTTGAGGTATGGTGCTCATCGAACCAACGATTCCAACGGCCGTGATGTGGGAACGCTGTACTTTTCTGGGTTGGCCTTTAAACCCTAAGATAAATATTTGTATTCTGGGCCCCTTAATAAACCCAAATAAGGAGAACATAAAATGTCCCAAAAACAAACCGAGTTTTCTGGGTTCTTAAGCAAAGTTACCATGGCAATTAGAATTTGTTAAGTAGACCATCGGGTTTCCCTGTCGCAGGAGCTGTATTTAAGTTCCTTAACAACATCCTAGTGTCTTGAAGGGTATGCTTTGATTGTACACCCGTCGAGAGTCTCGACATCCGAGCCGGCGCAAAGCCCACCGCACGTGCGAGCGCGCGCGTGTACGCACGAGCATATAAGCATCAAAGCAAGTAGAGCAGAATGCCTGCATAGACAAACTAGCAAGAGAGCATATGAAGCCCTAAACCCTAAACCCTAAACCCTAAACCCTAAACCCTAAACCCTAAACCCTAAACCCTAAACAGCTATACATAACTTTCACATAAGATGAGGCCCAGCGCACCTTGTTATCATGGACCCTGCGACTTCATTCTGCAAGTCGCGCCTTGGGCAGCATCCGGGCTAGCGCGATGTCGGTCTTTTGATTACGACCACAACTAAGGGTTTAGGGTTTAGGCTTTAGGTTTAGGGTTTAGGGTTTAGGGTTTAGGGTTTAGGGTTTAGGGTACTTCTGAAACCACCCAAGCAATCTGCAGTGTCGGGTTCTCGAGCTTCTGAGGCTCTCAGAGCTGACTCTTGGGGAAGTTGGGGTGCAGGATTCCTAAACCCTAAACCCTAAACCCTAAACCCTAAACCCTAAACCCTAAACCCTAAACCCTAAACCCTAATCCTAAACCCTACACCCTACACCCTAAACCCTAAACCCTAAACCCTAAACCCCAAACCCCAAACCCCAAACCCTAAACTTAAGGAAGCTTCAGAACCCGAGACGCTCTGGGGGCTGAGGTGCCAGGGAGCGAAGGGCTTAGGCTCTGCCAGGGCTGACGCGTTGCAAGGCAACGAACGCAATCTTAACCCTAAACCCTAAACCCTAAACCCTAAACCCTAAACCCTACACCCTAAACCCTAAACCCTAAACCGTAAACCCTAAACCCTAAACCCTAACACTTAACCTTACATGTTGATCGGGAGGTGCTTGGTGACTGCGCTCGCAGCCCAGCCTCGGGTTTAGGGAACTATGTAGGGCAGGTTCCGAAACCCATTTGGGGGTTCCGAAAATAGGGGACCCTCTTTGAAGGGTTCCTAGAATAAGGATTATAGTACTTTGGGGGGTATATTAGGGGTACCCCTATTTTGGGAAGTACCCATTTGAGTCCAAACCCTCCCCTAAACGCCCTAAACCGTCCTGAACGGCTTCCTGCCTCTGCCCTTTTGTTGGGGGCGAGTGGCTTTCGGAAAACCTCATCGGTGGTGAGGTTGAGCTGCAAGCCCTGACATCACACTGCGTGTGAACGCTCTGCTACTGTTTGCTTAAGAACCGCAAAACATGAACAACAATGGTCCCTATATTACCCTTATGAGGAAGACTTTTTTTGGAGGGGGGTTCTTAAGCAATTGGTAGTCTGAAGGGGGGCCAGCTGAGTCTCGTGAGGTTGTAGCTTCAAGGGGTTCACTTCTCCCAGCCACAACTCTCCGAGGATCACTTTCGGAGGTGACCCCACCCCATCTTCCATCCCCAAACTAGACCCGGGAGTAACCTAGGAACAAAAACGGGGGTACTCTTCTGGGTTTAAAGGGGATTCTAAGGGAACCCCAAACCCAACAAAAAGGAAGAAAGGACATACTCCCGGTCCTAGCAAACGCCTTAATTGCTGAGTTCATAAGCCCCCCCCCCCCCCAAAAAAAAAAAAAAAAAGAAAGTGTACACTTTCCGTGTTTTTTTTTTTTTTTTTTTTTGGGGGGGGGGGGGGTTGGTTGTAGTATCCCGGAAATTGTAAAGTGTACACATTCAGCTACTAACACAACCATGCGGCCCTAAATCCGAGACATGAAAAAACGGACCAGCCGAAAACTTATCGAAACCCAACCTGGTCCCCAAACTCCTAGAGACTCCAAGCCTTCAGCCTTTGCCTCCTTGCCTTTAACCATGAACTCCTTGCCTTCAAACCACTAGGGTTCTGGGTTTAGGGTTTAGGGCTTACGGTTTTCTGAAAGGACCAGGCTCGCAAAACACGGCAGAGAAGCCGAAACTGTGTTTCTCCAGACTTCTTCCGCAATGCTCGCACTTTTAGCGCAATGATGGGGAACCTGGATGCCTCTGTGTTTTGGGGCCGAAGTCTGCTTTATGAGGGATCTTTCCGAAGCCCAAGCTGGCCCAACGGGTTGCGTTGGGGTTACGGTCTCGGGAAGGGGGCGGCGGGGGAGGAGGCGGGGCTAGAGTCTAGCGCTTACGGAGAATTGTGAAATCCTGGGGGGACGAAAGGAAGCCTATCATGGGGATCACATACCCTATGTACTACTATGGTCCCTATCAAGGTATGCGGACCGTAGAATATTCTGGCATTCATTTGGCCCCAACGGATAGGATCGGAAGTATACCAGTTACTTGGGGGCTCATGGCTAACAATAGGGTTAGAAGTACCCTACTGTTCTCAATACAGTTACCACACGTCCTACTTATAGTTACCCATGAACCTCCAAGCACCCTAAACCCTAAACCCTAAACCCTAAACCTTCGACAGCCTTCCAAGCGGCATCGCCGACTTTGATGCTTTGGTCGGCACATGCCCGGCTACCTCGTTTAGGGTTTAAGGGTTCAAGGGTTGAGGGGTTTAGGGGTTTAAGGGATTAAGGTGTTAGGGTTTAGGGGTTAGGGTTTCAGGGTTTAGGGTTCTAGTGGTTTAGGGTTCAGGGCTTCTCAAAGCTTCGTCGCCGGAGTGGTTCGGGGCTTGCGGTTTTCGTTGCCAGGGTGGTTCTCGCTTCAGGTTGTTTTGCTTTGAGATTCAGGTTTGAGGGCTTTAGGGTCTAGTTTAGGGCTTGGGGCTTGGCATGTGACAGTCATATGTCCAAGTAGGAACAGGGGAAGCCTTGCACTGGCAGGCAGTCTGCTCCTTTGAAGCCACAGCAGAGTTGCGCAGATCCAAGCAGACCCTCAAAACCCTCAACCCTGAACTCCAAGTATTTCAAAGGACGGGTCGCGGCTTCTTAACAACATCACTTGAATGATTTCAAATACGCATTCTGATTAACCAGGCCCTGCATGAAACCTTTGAGCACACAGTGTTTCTGAAGCCCCGTCCCAAAGGGTTTAGGGTTTAGGGTTAGGGTTTAGGGTTTAAGTTCGAGCCAAAGCCGCAACGTGGCATAAGGTGTAGGTTCTACTCTCGATCCTACACCCTCTGCACCCCTTCGAAGCATGATTGAACACATGCTTAGGGCACTACACTCCCGTTAACGCCATGACGAAACACACTATGTTGTATCTGTTCGTTTGTGTTTATACATGTTTTGCATTGAATGTTCCGTCGGCGTTAGTGCACCCAACAGCTGCCAATGTTTAGTGTGTTCCCTGAGGTTTTGAATAAGCGGCTACCAAAGAGACCATGGAAGTCTCGCGGCTAGGAGGACCTTCCGGGGGCTAAGGATGGGTTCGAAAAGTAGGGATCGAGAAAGGGTTGGGTGGCAAAAATGCCCCTGACTTCTTCCTAAGCCCTAAGCCCTGAACCCTAGACTTGAATCCAAAGGCTTACATGATTAAACCCGACAAAAACCCTAAACCCAGAAACCCAGAAACCCTGAAACCCTGAAACCCTGAAACCCCTAAACCCTACACCCTAAACCCTAAACCCCCTCATCTCAAAGGACTTCCGAGCCCGCCGCGCCTGGAGCTTCTCGGGGGCTGAGGGCAAAGGCGCTCTGCCAAAACACCTGCGGACACGAACCCAACCCTGCAGAGTGGAACCTCTATGAAGTAGGTTTAGGGTTTAGGGTTTAGGGTTTAGGGTTTAGGGTGCAGGGTTCAGGGTTCCCTCCTCCCCTTAAAATGGATGATGATTATACTGAATCCCCATTAAGGACTGTTAGTAGCAAGGGAACCACCCCAACCTTCGTACCTCGGCTTGGTTGCCCGCCGTGTTTGCCTCCTGGTGAAAGGTGTTGTGACACGCAGTATTGAACGTGTGGTCCTTGAAGCCTCGGAGCTCAGCCACCACAACACTACGACGACCAGCACTCTCACACTCCAGGTCTGTCTCCTGCAGCTGTTCGAGGAGTGCCATGAGGCGGTGATCGCAGCCCTCCTGGGCCATGGCTTGGTGCTCCTCTGCTCTGCTACACACAACACCACTGTCAACACCACGAGCCGGAATGCGGCTGAGAAAACAAACCTTCATCGTCCTCGTCATCATCATCATCATTATCATCATTGGTGAGTTCTCTAAATTATGGTCCCTTTTTGGGTACCCTAGACAAGAGAGGCCGCCTTGTAACAAGGACCCAATTGTCTAGTAGTGGCCATAGGAAGTAGGTTTTTTGAACGAACAGGCATTTGCGAGGCTTCAAAATTCAGGGCTTCGGGCAGGGTCGAACAGATTTGCTCAGCAGGGGGGGGGGGGGGGGGGGTGGCTAGGGTGCTGTCGGCCAAAAGCGACCGAACACGCTTCCCATACTAACACAAACAGACCATGTCCTGGATCAAAGCGCGCACATGGGGTGCGGGGTGCGCATGGGAGGTGCTATCTACCTTCGGCGAGGCAGCTTCTTCCCCGAAGCCCCCAAAACTCGGACACCCTAACACCCTAAACCCTAAACTCCCTACCTTGCAGACCAAATGAACCCAAAAATTGGGGTCACATACCCTATGCTAATATGAACCCAATTATATAAAGGTGTATGAACCATAAGCCCTTTTAGGGTTCACTTGGTCCCCCAAGGTAAAAGGACTAAACGGCGCACGCGAAGGCACCTGAACCCAGGGCGCCAGCGCAATCGCCAAGCAGAGCTTCCGGCGGTGCCGCCACATGGCCATTGCTACTATTTGCTTAAGAACCAGGACGGGGGCTATTATACCCCATAACCCCTTAAAAAGCCCCTTCATAGGGTTGATTATGGGGATTATAAGGCCCAATAGCCCATGCTGGAACCCTACATAAAATGAAACAAATATTCTTCCTTATCAGGGTAATCAAGGGATTACTATTTCTTTTTTTGTTGAGTTCTTAAGCACTTAGTCGATTGCAGGTCTTCAAGGCCCAAGGGTTTCAGGGGGTTGCAAGTCCCGGGTTTCGGGTTTAGAAGCTTAGAATTTTGAGGGCATAGTGTGGCAGCCTCATGTGTAAGAAGAGACTGTACAGTGTTAATCGGCGAGGTCTAAACAACATACATACATGTAAAATCACCCAAGTCTACTATTTGCCGAAGAACCCGGCCAAATAATATAATTAGATTCTTCCTGATGAGGGTAACACAGGGATTTTTAGCTTTCCCTTTTTATCGGGGGTTCATTAACCAACATGTAGATAAGAAGATCCAAACCCTAAACCCTAAACCCTAAACCCTAAACCCTAAACCCTAAACCCTAAACCTTAAACCCTACGCATAGGGTTTGTAGGTCTTCCTTCAGCAAGTGACGGGCCTGGGGTTCGGAAGCCCAGCAAGTTATCAAGGCTAGGGTTGGGGGGTTGGGGGGTTAGGGTTTAGGGTTTAGGGTGTAGGGTTTAGGGTTTAGGGTTTAGGGTTTAGGGTTTAGGGTTTAGGGTTTGGAGTCCAGGGTTCAGGTTTTCTGGGTTTAGGGCTTCGGCTTTCGGCTTTCGGGTTTCGGGTTTGAGGTACCTTCTTCTCCTTTGTTCTTGCGGATTAGGGTTCAGGTTTATGCTTCAGGGACAATGGTACGAGGGGCCCACTCTGCGTCCTCGGCTTGAGCCTCGTGATTTGGTCTTTTTGCTCCCCTTGGGCTGCAAATCGAAGAGCAAGGGTTTTGGGTTTGGGTTGTCCACAGCAGGAATCTAGAAAATCACGCCAAACGACACCAAATCCTAAATCCCAAATCTTCTCGTGGGGATTCAACCACAAATGCCCCCCCCCCC